GGGAAGTAAAAGCAATAAAGCTGAGAAAGGAGTCTGGTTTAAATACAGAGGGAAGTTGGAAATGCTCAGAGCCAATATACCAGGCAACACTGGACAACAATCAGATTGCAGTCTTGACCTAAACTCTCAAAGCCTTGATTGTTTATGGGGTTCAACTGAGGCCTTGTCTCTAACATGATTTACCTCTGCATAGCACGATTTACATGCATAAATACCTCTGCATACATGGTAGGTCTTCCAAAACATTCAGCCATCTACTCAACCATTGTAGAGACACAAGTGAACGGGCAGAAGTACAATTCTCTAGTTTCCTCATTTAGAAATTCAATGTTCACACGTATTTAAGTATTCTTTTTATGTAAGAACTATTGCATTTAAGTAATAACCAGTAGACACAACAGCTAGAGTCTGCCTGTTACTCCAGTATGGCTTACATACCTCATCCATGCCAGAAGCTGTGAAGAAGATGCCAATCTCTTCTGCGTATTTCTTGAGCTCTCTATATTGGTCATGACTAAACTCCAAGTGGCGCTTGTGCTCCCCGTAGGTCTTTCCCCAGGAGTGTTTAGAGGTGTAGGGCCTTTCTAAAGCTTTCTTGTTGAATTTGTACTCCAGTTCACTCTTCTGGAACTTAGCACAGTCTGCTCCGCAGTCCTGCAAAACAAGCTGGTGCGCGCTGAGTGGAAGTGCAGGTGAAACCGCACTCATACTAAGTTTGAACACAAGGATTGTGCAACTGATGTGCCCATTTGCAGGGGAATTTTCACACTGCCATCGCAGCAATCACAGGAATGGAATGAACAGAGAGTGACAGAGGACCTCCACACACAGGCGGCCTTTTATTTCAAAATCCCTGTGTACTCAGTAGAGCAGCAGTCTAGAAAGAAATCATCCTAAAACTACAAAACTGAACTGCCCCTTGCTCTGCATGCCGCTTATTTGAAGAGCTGATTTCCGTGGGGTTTTCCAAGCTCAGCTGTCACTCGACAATTTTACGTGAAAACAAGCGACGGCATTCTCTAGAACAAGGCGTATGAATCTGAAATTTGTCTGAAGCCTCACAAATGGTGAGGTTAAATTCTCACTGCACTGTTCTGCACTTAGACCACAGTCACAGGTCTGAACACATTTTGCCCTGACTTCTCCTTTGGTGATGATACGTCTTTTTCTAACATAGGTATATCTAACGTACATATAACACCAAGTTTTAAAACAGCTTGGCTGTTTTACTGGATAATGTAAGTATCACCTCAAAAAAACCCTAAGGCAATCCAGCCAAATTGGAGGTTCATCAGAGGCAGTTCCGCAGTTACTTGATTCTTCCCATATTCTCAGGGAATTTTGTGACTATAGAATTGTCCTGCGTGTGCCTGCGGACGCGCACGCCTGTGCGTGCGGCGGGTGAGGCAGGGGGCTTCCTGAAAGCCAACACGACGGGCTAGGAGGTGCAGGCCGAAGGCTACAGAGCACGCACCCACCACGACCGTCTCCTTGCAGCTACTTTATTAAAAAAATTCCTCCTGTAAATCGCTCCGCTCCTCCCACGCGGTGCCACCGCCCGGAGACGATGCTCCCC